TTCCCAGTCAAAAAATGAATTTATTCCCACTCCAGCCCATAAATAAAGGGAACAATCTCCTCAGCTACCTTCTTTCTCTGGAGCCTGTCTCATGTCACACCTGACAATTGAAGATCACTTTTTAAGCATTACTTTATGAAACTTCATGATCAACAATGCTATATAGTTTAGCATCTGAGTTTTTACACGCAAAAAAAGCTTTGAAAACACACAGGGTTTGGAATGCAAGAAGGGCTATGAAATCCAAACCCACAAAACAAGAATGTCAGCTTGTATGCATTATCACAAAGTGCTCAAAAATGCAATTATGGTTCACACTTTATCTCTTTTCCCCTCAAAATTATTTGTCACTTTATAGATAGATGGAGTTGAGAAGAGGGGAAGGTTTTTCTTTCCAGTGTGCATTTGGAAACCCTTTCAAAAGCTACAGATGTGTATGAAACAAATTCCTAGTCACATGGATTCAAGCCACAGCATTCTTCCCAAACTACCACTCAAGCAAGCCAAGAATAATCTAGCCAGCCAACTTGAGTGTAGGAAAGCTATAATGTCTATTGCCTGGGAAACCTCTAAATATCACTTGTACATGCACCTTGGTTTATAAAAACCATTTCAGTATTGTATAAAGGAAAAAAGCTATGAATTATCAATTACCAAGAGATTGTCAAGCACTATGATAATGGATGCTAGACTGATGTGTAATTCATATTTAACAGAATGTAGTTCGCAAAACTTTAGCACATGTAAAATTTTTTTAAAACTTAAGATACAGTTCATAAAAGAATATATACATATAGGTAAAACTAGAAAGTGTTCAATTACATTAATCAATGATACCTATTAAAATTAGCAAAAATCTAAAATAAAATCAGCTATATTATGCAGTTAATTCAAACGATTTAAAAAATTTATCAACATATATCAAACACCTTAAAAATATTAAGTACTTTGACCTGGTTTATAAAATTCCAGGTCTAACTTTCACTGGTCTAACCTTAAAAAATAAAACCAAAACAACTAAAATGTAGTATGTGGAAAGATGTTCATTGTAGCACAATTTGTCAAAGAGAAATTGTAAATAACAAAAGAAAAATGGTAAAATGAATTATAGAACACATACCAGGGAAACATTTTATTTGCTCATTCATTCACTGTATTTCTAAAGGACTTAAGACAACTCATGCAATGATATATTACATAACCATGAAAATTTATGTTTAAAAAGCATGTGTACAATGGGAAAGTGCTCATAAATATTAAGAGGAAAGGCTTGGATACAAAATCACATGTGTGTAAAGGTAAGGTTGTAAAATATGTAATCTTATCTTTCTTTAACAACATGTAGAAAAGGGAAACCATCAAAATATTTAAAATAGTATGTGTATGGTCCTAGCCAGTTTTGCTCAGTGGTTAGAGCATCAGCCTTGGACTGAAGGGTCCTGGGTTTGATTCCAGCTAAGGGCATGTATCTTGGTTGCAGGCTCAATCCCCAGCCCCGGTCAGTGAGCGAGTGGGAGGCAAACAATTGATGTGTCTCTCTCATATCGATGTTTCTCTCCCCTCCCCCCACCCCACTCTCTCTGAAAAGCAATGGAAAAAATATCCTTGGGTGAAGATTAAAAAAGAAATGGTACATGTATGAGTGGTAATATGGTGGGAGAGTAAGAAGCCAGGAAAATTCCTGCACAAATAGAATGGAGAAACTGAGGCAAGAAAATTAAACAAGGCCAAACAGTTTGGGCAGCTTGCAGCCAGCTTGTTAATCCCAAGATCGTGTTAATGGTTAATACCTCTTTCCTTCCTAACCAGAAAATACATAGCTTAAATCACCCTGGTTTGGGAAAATAGAGAACAAAGACCTAATTAATGCCATTTTTGCCAGCTAAACCCAAGAGCAAATATCACTTAGGGGATGTTAGGGCAGGAAGAGGGGAAGAGGAAAAAAGGGAGAATTTATCTCATCATCAACTGAACAAAGAGGTCAGCAGTCTTGGGACTTGCCAAGATAAAATCACAAGATATTCTCATAAATTCTGGGAAAAGCCACAATGAAGTAAAAGGAGGACCTTGAAATCTAGCCTGTTGCCCAAGATATTCAGCAGAGGAACCTTGAAACCTGTAGACAAAAAAGTATAAAACCCCTAAACCTCCACCAGGCAGGGTGCTCGGACCAGCTGGGCTGCTCACCTATGCTTTATGCCAAGTGTATTTTAAAAATTTGCTTACCTTGCTTCCTTAATAAATTTACTTGCTCTGTTACAATGCTGCTATCATTTGTCTGAAATCTTTCTTACCAGATTGACAAGAGCTGAGGAAGGGACAGCCCTCCCCCTCCAACTCAGGGGGCTGTCCAGTAATAGTAACATTATAGGTGAATTTTATTCTCTTATATTTCATAAGTTTTATACACTGAGCTTATATTTTTATAATAAAATGTTCATATATATAAAAATTATAAAACAAAAAAAGAGCCCTGGCTGATGTGGCTCGGTGGTAAGAGCATTGAACCGAGCACTGAAGGGTCTCAAGTTCAATTCCCAGTCAAGGGCATGTACCTGGGTTGCAGGTTCAGTCCTCAGCCCCAGTTGGAGCATGTATAGTAGGCAACAAATCGATATGTCTCTTTCACATCCCCCCTCCCCTCTCTCTCTCTCTCTCTCTCTCATTTGCTCTCCTCCTCCCTCCCTTCCACTCTCTCTAAAAAATATCCTCAGGTGAGGATTAATAACAACAACAACAACAAAAGACAAAGATTATTTTAAAAATAAAAAGTTTGCCTTTCTATATGATGGTTTACAAGAAGATAGCTCTTCCTACATAGCCACATTGAAAAAGGAAAGTGAAAATGATGCCTAAGAGAAAAAAATCCAAACTGGAAATTAACCTCATAAAATAGAAATTTGTTTATCAATTAAAGGTATCAAAAGAAAGACAGAATAAAGAGATGATATATTATAAGGTTGTTGGGAGGGGAGATCATTGACATAAACAAGAGAATGCCAGAGACAGGCAAGGAATTTTAATCTTGAAATCAAATAACCTATCAGTGAATTTACGGTAACATGGTTTTCTTGTTTAAATTGTAGTTTCCAATACACCTAGAGACAGAAAGTAGAACTGTGGTGAATGGGTAATGAGTATGAAGTTTCAGCTTAGAATGATGAAAAAAGTTCTGGAGATGAATGGTGGTGACAGTTGTACAACATTGCAAATGTACTTAATACCACTGAACTATATACACGTATAATGTTAAATGGTAAATTTTATGTTATGTGCAGTATTGTGATTTATAAGACATGTGTGTGCATATATATATCATTCAGATGACCAAAATGTATTTCTCATATATATTTGGCCCTCGTCTACAGTTCCTGGCTTACAGCTCCCCAATTTCTTGGAATATCCTAAGTGCTGAGAGCAACAATGGTGTCTCTTGTTATGTTAATGAGGTGACTTTTGCACACAACCCCAGGGTAGGGGCTGGTTGTCAGTGGAAACCAACCATGTGTTTTGAGTTTTGGAACTTTCAATCACACCCCAATTTCCAGGGAGGGGAGAAGGGTTTGAGGTTGAATCCATCACCAGTGGCCAAACACCTAGTCAATTATGACTATGTAATGAAACCTCCATAAAAACCCAAAAGGACAGCTCTTAGACTTTTTCTGGAGAGTTTCCACCTATGGGAATCAGAATGCTACCATGTGCTGGGCTTCAACTCAATGAGGATAGAAGCTCCTTTATTCAGGACCCCACCCTATGTACCTTTTCACCTAACTATTGATTCCTACCCTTTAATGCCTTTAGTAATAAATCCATAATCTAAGTGAGTAAACAGGTTTTCTTGAGTTTTGTGAGCCATTCTAGCAAATTAATTGAACCCAAGGAGGAGGGTCATGGGAACCTCTGACTTGCAGCTGTTCAGAACAACCTGGGCTTGCAACTGGTATCTGAAGTGGAGGGTGATCTTGTGGAAATGAGCCGTTTACCTGTGGAATCTGATTCTACCTCTGGGCAGATGGTGCCAGAAGTTAACTGCATTCTCAGACACCAGCTTGGTGCTGTGGGGAAGCCTCTACGTACAAGTTGGACTTTGGTCTGAGAACCCTTTCATTATGTATATTTTACCACAATTTTTTTTTTAACAATATATCTTTATTGATTTCAGAGAGAGGAAGGGAGAGGGAGATAGAGCAATAGAAACATCAATGATGAGAGAGTCATTATTGATCAGCTGCCTCCTGCACACCCCCTGCTGGGGATCGAGCCTGAAACCCAGGCATGTGCCCTGACTGGAATTGAACCATGATCTCTTAGATCCTAGGTCAATGCTCAACCGCTGAGCCACATCTGGCCGGGCTACCACAATTTTTGAAAAAGAATACAGTTAGATCTGATTTGAAGTAGATTCAACTGGTGAGGTGTATATTCAAATTAGCGCTCCGAGTTCTCAGCTTTTCTGAAACATTTCATAAAGATGTGAGCACAACTTATTAAAAGGAAAAGCTATAATTACACTTTACTAGCAGCTTTTTCTTAGAGGGTAAATTATTGCATCTGTTTAATAATTCTTCTAATGTAGCCAATGTTTAGTTTTCAAATATTAAGAAATCATGCTTCATCTAAACAAAGGTTTAAAAGTAAAGTAGTCATTAGATTCAAAGAAACTAGAATTGAGATTGCTAGGAATTCTGGTATTTACGCAAATTTGTGGTAAATCAGCTATGAGTATAAATCTCAACAGTAAGCACCATTCCTAGAAACTATACAAAATATATTTAAAAATTGTCCCCATAGTTCTGGGAAGAGCCTCAGTTTTCCTTAATATATGCAGTGGAAGACATATGATGATAAAGCATTCTACAAACAGAACTTTTCTAATTTAAAATAATATTCTGATCATAAAAAAAATCAAGAAACAAAATAAAAAAATTAAAAAATAACTTTTCAGGATTCAAATTCCATATCCAGTTTTCTCAATTCACTTTAAAAACCTCACTCACCCTTCTAGTGTTTTCAAGGATTTTGGGATCGGGTTTTCCGTAGTTGGGTGGATTGGCATATGGGTCATATCCGAGTTTGGCAAGCATGGGTGCGATCACTGCCATGTCTTGTAAAACATCTGGAGGTATTTTCCCAACCCATTTTGATAGAGCTGCCATATTGACTGGTTTGATGACTTGGTCTGTTGATCTCTCCACTCTGAAAACAATATAATATGAATAAATACTTATTTAGAATATCAAAAAATAGTGTTAAAAGACCACTGAAAATTATTTTTTGATAACTTTAAAAATTATAAGTGTCTCCATTACAAAGCAGGCACTGATCAGGCTTAATACTATTTACTAGATATTTTTTTAATGTTCTAAATTTGACAGTAATTATTGGAAACCTCAGATTTCTAGAAATAGGAAAAAGGGTCAGCCAATACCATCTGCACAAAACGTGTTGACATTTTAATTACATCATTCAGAAAAAAATATGGCTACTTAGAAAACCAGCTAGTCAACTTATTTGAAATGCATCAAAAATAAGTAAGATGCACTGATGAATGACTAGTGGACAGATATGTGATAAAGCAAATACAATAAATCTTAATTGTATAAGATAATGAGTGTAATTCTTTCCATTCTTTGTACATTTGAAATATTTCATAATAAAATACTGGCAGGAAACCAGCAAACCATGATCCATTAAGAATGCAAAATATTCATTTGTTCTATCTTTCTGTTGACTTCCTGAAGAACTCTACTTTCTAAGGAAGAAAAAGAAGTGCTGTTTACATTTATGACTTTCAATATTACAGAATAAATATGTTCTACTTTTTAACCTAGAAATTCACTTTAAGCTTATAGTGATTATATTCACTATATTTGACTAAATAGCTCATAATCTTAGGAAAAACATAACATAAAATGACACCTAGATACAAATTGGTTCTGAATTAGCAGATTTTGGCCAAATGACTATAAAACAAAAGTGCTTAAGAGAATTTTATATCATAATACATAAGTCATTCAAACAGTCTTCTAATAATGGTAAAAACCCTTTTTCTTTAAGTATATGACCTCTCACTTCAGATCATCACTATCTGATGAGAAATCCCTCAAAGGGGATCCCTGCCTAAAACAACAGACAAGAGAAAATGGAATTGTTCTTCCCTGGAATTCTGTGAGGCCACTAGCTCCAGGTTTCCTTCCTGCCTCAATAGGTACATTCTTTTTTCCTCTCTTAAAAATTTCCCCCGGACTCCTCTTAACCCTCTGCTTTCTTCACTCTACACATTTTCCCTGGATGACTTCATCTCTAATGACCTTTGCTTGACTTTCTTTACCTGTGAAAAAACGTCCTGGCTTGTCCAGGACAGGTCCAGTTTATACCTACTGCCCAGCTTAAATTATTAATAGCACATCTCACTCACTCTCATAACTGTTCATTTGTATGATAAATTATATAGTCATGCTACTCACATACTCTCACATGCCATGAAACTAAGGTGGTCCAAAACTGGACCCATCATCTTCTGCTCAAAATCTACTCCTTTTCATGTACATCTTATCTTGATAAATGGCACAGCACCTATCAACAAGGCAAAGCCAGGATCTGGGATGGACAGGGAGAAACTAAGACCAGTTCAACAGACTTTATCTTTGAGTAGAACAATCTCTCCTCCATTCTTACTGCTACTACCTTCATTCATGTCACCATCATTTCTTACCTGGACTACTACAAAAGCCTCCTAATTTTTCTGCATTTAAATAGTTGGCTCTCAGGCCCAACTATCTATCATTCCACCAGAGTATAAGAAGGGTCTGTGTCTTATTAATCTCACTATTACCAGCACCTAGCAGAACATAAAATAGATACTCAAAAAAATGTTGATTAAATAACTAAAAACTTTTCATGAAATAAAAACCCTACAAATTTAGTTGCACAAATATGCTCAAGAAAAGTCAAGGATCATATCTTTATAAGGAGACCAACTGTCACAAGATGAAATAACTAGGCAATATCACGGTGCACACTGCATGGCATTTACTGTGGCTGCATTAGGAATGTTAGAGAATGTGAGAGCTGTGTCTGCAGACAGGGATAAACATCTCCAGAATTTAAAAAGGTTTACAGTACACACAGAATAACATTTTCTGTTCATTCTATGTCAGGTATTTTGCATATGATATCTCATTTAATCCTTAAAACAACCTCAAGAGAAAGATATTATCAGTCCCCATTTTTTTTTTTTTTTAAATATATCTTTATTGATTTCCGAGAGAGGAAAGGAGAGGGAGAGAGAGAGGTAGAAACATCAATGATGAGAGAGTCATTGATCGAGCCCGCAACCCAGGCATGTTCCCTGACCGGGAATCGAACCCCGATCGCCTGGATCCCAGATCGATGCTCAACCGCTGAGCCACGCCCAGCCGGGCATCAGTCCCCATTTTTCAAATGAGAAGGTATCACACAGCCTGGAAATAATGAGGTTAGAATTTGAACCCATGTCTGTNATCAGTCCCCATTTTTCAAATGAGAAAGTATCACACAGCCTGGAAATAATGAGGTTAGAATTTGAACCCATGTCTGTCTAACTCCAAAGTTCCCATTTTTCCTCCAGTTTCTCTCTACTGCCATCCTATTGATTATCTTAATTTTTACATTCTAGGCCTCCCTGAAGACCTCGGCCTTTTGCCCTGTGGATAGTGAGCAAGTTGGTTTGCCACAATGGCAAAAACATACAGATGTTCTATCCATATAATACATATATAGTGCTGTGCTGGTAATGTTTAACAACCTGCTCTCCAGGGAAGAAAAGGCCAGGATTTGTTGCATCTACTGATGTCCATAGTGCAAAAACTCCCACCATGGCTGATTTCAAGCTACCAACATGAAGTCACCAACTGCAGAGTTGGGAAGAGAGGTGCAAAATGAACTTTCTGCAGCTGGGGCAGGCTAGCTCCAGTAGACCACTGGATATCTACAGGGCCACAGTCTCTTATTCCAAATTTTGAAACCCATAAAACTCTAAAAACTAAACATATTCATGTAACTCATTTAGCAGCAAAACATGACCTGAACTTATCAGAATCCAAGTGTAGTCTTTATTCTACTTGGTATAAACAGTCATACTCTTTGATGAGGAAATATTAATGTGTTTGATTACAGAGTGTTGATCCAGAACCAACAGAAGATGTTGCCTAATGTGTTATGCACATCACATGACCTTTCTAAAATCCAAAACTTTCTGATTTCTGAAACACATGTGTGTTAAGCACTGGAGTCACACATAAGGTCTTATATGTCATGATTGGGAAGTTGGATTTATCTTGACACTGCTGGGGAGTGACAGAAGGGTTTTAATTATAAGGGTGATATGATCAGAATATCATTATCAGCATTCAATGCTAATAACTATGGGAGGAGTCCACTGAAAGATGGGACAACCAGGGTAAGAAAAAACAGTAGATGTTCAATTATATATTGGAAGTGTTGAGAAATTATTAAAGTTTCAACTAGAGCAAATAAGATGGAGACAGAAAGAAGGAAATCTCTATAGTGTGTGGGGGTTTTTTAAAAGAGACATTTATAAGGCTTAGTGGCCAATTTGATATGCGTGGAGAAGGGAAAGGAGTCTAGATGAATTCATATTTGACCTGAAGGACTGAATGGATGGCATTATCATTCATTACAATAGAGAGCATAGAGGAAAAACATAATGTTGCTGCTTTGCTTTGTTTCAGGTGTAGGGGACAAAGAAAAAGGTAAACTGATGGTCACAAAGTTACCAAAGGTCTAAAGAAAAATTAAAGACTGGGGTGTAGTATGTGCTCAGTAACAATAGCTATTATTATTTTTTCATCCAGATTACAGCACTGGTTCATAAGTGAAAGCCACTATTTACCATAAGGATTGAAGAAATGATTTAAAGATAAAGTCCAACCATCTCTTGTCTGAAAGGGTTAGAACTCTAAAATGAAAGAATTTGGAAAGGCTTTTGTTATATAACCACTGAGTCACAGGATCCACTAGCAGCAAATGCAGTTACTATGGACTCCTTAGGGGAACAACTTGGAAAAGCCTACTGCATGTCAATCAGGTACTTCTCTTTAAGATAGGAATAATGGCATTTTATATTTATTGAGCATAAAATTCAAATTAAACATTTTTTTAATACCCACTATGTGTCAGATATTGAAGATGCAAAGATGACTGACTAGGCCACAGCCCTCCTCTCAAGAAGCTCAGAGTCCAGTAAGATAGATAAAATATATATGTGATTAATATACAGCGTGATGAATGTAATGACAAAGGTTAGAAACCAAATTATGAGAATGCAGGTGACAGAACTAGGCTAATTCTTCTCCTGGGCAGGGACACATGAGTCAGGGCAAATTACCAAGAAGCTAAGGCAAGAGTTAGCAATCTGTGGGTCACAGGCCAAATATCGTCCCACTGCCTGTTTTTGTCTGGCCTTTGAGCTAAGAATAGCTTTTACATTTTTAGTTTTCTAAAAAAAACCAAAAGAATAATATTTTATAACACATCAAAATCATATGACATCAAACTTCAATATCATAAAATTTTATTGGAACACAGCCACGTTCATTTGCTTACATACTGTCTATGGCTACTCTTATTGACAATGACAGAGTTGAAGAGTTGAGATAAAGACCAGATGGTTCCCCAAACCTAAAAGTTTTACTATGTAGCCTTTCACAGGAAAAAAAAAAAAATTGTCAACCTAGATCTAAGACTGTATCTTAAGGGAATGTAGGATCTGGTGAAGAGGGGAAGGGTCTCAGCTGACCTCCTTCCTCTCAGAAGGGCCAAATCAACTTTCACACGCACGAGAGAACCTGGTACGTTTGGAGAAGGGTATGTGCAGGCAAAAAGGATGTACTGAGGCTACCTGGGTGGGGAGGGGAGGGGGGAGTGTTTGCTTTGCATGTATCAGGTTCAAGAGAGACATCTGTTGATCTATAAGGATGCATAAGTAAAATAAAAATGAAATAGAAAATAAAAAGCAATCCTCCAGGTCACTGTCTGTTGGTGAGCCACACAAATTTTCCACTCTTAAACTCTTAAGAGTTGCTTCTTAGTTCCAAGTCAGCTCTTTGGGCTCCCCTTTCCCCTTTCCCATGGGTTCTAGTTATTCAGTTTGCCTTTTTCTAAGAGGTAGAAGGTGTCGTAGGGATAATGCAGAC